AGAGGGAAGCCAGAAAAGCCATCTGTTTGGAAGAATGAAAAAGCCTAGTTGTTTTACTCATTTCCTGGGCAAAATGAAGAGCTGAAAGGTTTTCAGTGAGAAAACTGCTTAGACTGCACTAAGCCAGATGTATATAGGGAACTCAAAAGGAGTAAGCGCAACAGAATTTTCTTAGTTCAGAATAAAACAGTTGCATGGCAAATATTAAGAAACCACTTGCCCCTTCAGGCAGATTATATCTGACTTTGCCTGTAAGTTTTCCAAATCTTAGGTTTGCTTTTCCAAATGAAATGATATTATGAGTAACAGGATAATCAAGCAAAGAAGGATAGAAATAAAGTATTACCAGTATGATTATATTTAAAAAAATAAGCCTATAATACCAACTTGAAAGAAACTTCCTGGCTTTAGTCCTTTTCAGAAAACCTAGGCTATCTCCTGCTAGAAAAAGCCAATCGCTGTGTGAGTTTAGAATCAGGCACGCAGGATTCTGACATGATGCGTTAACATCACATATTAAATTACACCAGGTTTTGCAAGAAAAATTCAGGCCTAGATGAGGATATTTAACTTCTGCTTCACTAATGAAAACTGCTTTACCCACATAATGTATTTTATAGCCTAACATATTTCCAACACTTTATGCTGATATCTCAGTCACTGGGACACAGTGCTAACTCTACAGCTATTTATATAAAAATACCCTGCTCTGAGGCTCTCTTTACCAAAACACAGGACCATGTAAATTCACAAAAGGCTCTAACTAAGAATTCTTTCAGATGTCTCCGAGTGGTGCACTCTGCTGGAAGGACACATTTCTAAGAGCCCGTTATCATCCAGCCTCCAGAGTAGGGACTAACGCACCACTGCTCGTTGGCTCTGATATCCTGACATCTCTACTTGGATAGCTTGGGCAGAAGTCAATTCCTATTAGCATCGCTCTGTCGCCAGAACAGGAAGCATTCCCACACGGCTGTGTGATTCCTAAGCAAGGCTCAACAGCCTAGAACTTCCACATCAAATACTGTATCATCAGGGAGAAGAAACAGATTAATTAAATTAAAACCCCTAAATAAATCAGCTTCAATTGACCCAGCTGCATACAGTAGGTTTGCAAGTCACAGTGCAGTATCTGGACAGAGCAGTAAAACCCAAATACCAGATTTCTTTACCATTTTCAGGGACATGTGGCAGCAATGGGTGTGGCTGTTCTCCCTTCAGTTCAGATTTGGCAGGTTTGTCGTGTCCCACTACAGAGAGTTACCCTACAGCCCTTTCTGTCAAATACGTATTAAGAGGATAGCTTAAAAAATGGGTTTGCTGCATTCAGGCAGCCCAACAGCTGACACTGACAAGAGGTGTCCCACTACAGAGAGTTACCCTACAGCCCTTTCTGTCAAATACGTATTAAGAGGATAGCTTAAAAAAATGGGTTTGCTGAATTCAGGCAGCCCAACAGCTGACAGTGACAAGAGTATTCAAATGAAATATGCAGAGTTATCAGAATGGTTCTGAGTTTGTTGGATATGAATTGATAAAAATAGCTTTTTGCCCTATTTCATCTTACCTTGATACAGCTTTTGAACAGTCCACGAAGTCTCTAACTTACCTAGCAAAACTTTCAGGCCATTACTGATGGGAAGGCTGACACCCATTACAGCAGTCAACTGAGTGTCATTTATTTATCTGAAAACAAAAAGCAACTTTTATCGCATGTATCTACTCAAGATCACTGTTCTAACATAGCACAAAAAATAACTACTGTTATTTTTATAACTACTATAGTGCCTCCAGCCATAGTTCACATTAAGAGACTGGAGAAATAGATTGTGTGCATTTATACACATCTCTGTAGATCAATCCCTAGACACAGGACTAATTTAAATTATACTTGCAGAAACAGCTTTCTGGACTACCCAAGTTTGACAATGAATTTGCATGGCAGAGTTGTCTTCAGAACTTCCTTCATTTCCTCATGTTCCAGTCACAGGAAAGGAAGAGACTGGCCTTTAAGTCAGTAAAACATGGGATTGTTTTACAGCTAACAAGCAGGACATTCCCATTCGCTCTATTTACTTAACTCTCACCTCTGAAGTGTTAAAGTGTCTTATTTTACTAAGTCGTTCAACAGCTCTTCCGCTCATCTTTTTCTCTCCAGTTCTGCTGTATCACACAGCACTGAAGCACTCTCCTCAATGCTGGGCGTTCAGATGAGCCATCAGCTACGCTACTTGCAAAAACCCATAAAAAATTGAGAGAAATCAAGCTTTGAGCTGCTAAGTCCCTCACACCCCCACATGGTTTCCTCCAGAAGACAGGATTACCGTCACCAGACTAAAGAGCAAGCGTTTACCAGCTCCAATCTAGACTCCTAGGCCTAAAACAAGGGCTCTGCTGGATTTTTCTCTTCTTGAAATGACAGCTTCCCTGGCACCCAAACACGCTGCTGTGTTTCCTCAACTGGAAACAAATGAACAAAGAATCTAAATAGTCTGCTGAAAGGCTTATGGAAAAAAAATCATTTCCACAGCCCCTTCCTGAGATGCATTCTTTCTTTGCTGTGAACCAGACAGCTCTCCATGGTCCAGGCTTCTCCTTTACCTGTTCTCTGAATTACTGCCTTCCCTCCAGCATACACAAGCCATCCATCTGGAGTTCTCCCACACTCTTACTTTAAAAAGGCTACTTAAAATCCCCCAAAGAGCTCTCCAAGGGCTAAAAGTGAGACAGTCATCCCTTTGGAGCCGTCAGTCTAAAACACAAACACATCTGTTTCGTCTTTGCAAACTTGGGATTTATTTTTTCTGAAAGCGTGACAAACAGTTGTAGTGTGAAGATGCCTTTCAACCATGATGACAGAGGCATTTCACAAACTCTGCTAGTTTAAAGCTGCTTGTTACTGATCTATGTGCATCACAGCTTGTGTCCCACTATGGATTCCCAGCCACCCAGTGGAAAGCACTGACAAAACTGCTACATTTCCAAGAGGCTGCCTAAACCCAGCACAAGTCACCATTGCCAAAGCCAAGACAAATATCCCTACTCATCTAGGAAAAATTGTTCACTATTATCCAGCAATTATATTGACCCTTGAAGCCTTGCACCTTTAGTTTTCTTATAAGCAAGGGAACAACTTCGCTTTCAACACTGAGTCTTGGTGCTCGTCTCTGAAATAGCCTCTCCTCAGCCAAAACTGGGAGCAGTACAGATGAGATCTCACAAGCAGCACAGCACCAAGTAGAGCAGAATAATTACCTCCTGTGCCTCACATCTGATGCTTTTGTCGTTACTACCCAGAACAGGTTTTGTTTTGGTATCACTGGATTTTAACTCGGTCTGATCTGCTATAATACCCACACTACTCAGCACAGAACAAGCCGATATCCCTAACACTCAACCTTATTTTTCTCTTGCAAGTCTTACAGGGGCAGTCTGTTCCACCATCCAAGATTATTAATGAAAACACTGAATAAATTGGTAAACCTGATCTTGCTTTAACCAAGAAAGTATTTCCCAAATTCCAGTTAGGAACATAATGTAGGAAGAATTCTTCCTGAGGTATGCAGACCTATTCATTGTTATTTAGCTTTAGTATGTTAGAGAACATTAAGAATAGCTTAAATGACATAAAACCTTAACAAATAAAAAGGAGAACAAAAAGAGTTCAAGTAAGACAGTATAAATCCAGGTTTAGTTTAGTCACCCTAATATGAAAAAAGGACAAAAAACTGAGATGGAAAGTTAGAACAGCCTGCCACAGGCCAAAATGAGCAAGTTACTATTGCCTGTTCAAAAGCAAATCAACTTTACCTCAATCAGTAAGCCAAGTCTGTGGTAGTAACTGATGTCTTTACCTTGTGATGTGTTTATACAGGGGTAACTTGATATTAACTTCAACTTGCCTTATCTACCAATATAAAAGTGTCCAAATGCACTGTCAGACATTAGAAGTCACTTGACATTTGCACCTATGTACATGCAAGGCTTCTCAGCTGCCCATGTCCCATGACCTCCTCTGGAATGTAAAGAGCATTATATAAAATTCCAACATTTAACAGGCTGCCCAAGCGTTCCCTGTGATCCAGTTTCAAACTGGAAGATGTTTTCCTTATGTACCAGCCATATAACCACTGGCTGCACTCTGCTGTCCATGTACCCCTCTCACTTGCACTGCTGTGTTTTTAGCTCTAATACTTTTCAGGTCGGCTGAGGAAAGTACAGGGATTTACATTCAGACAGAACCAACTCCTCCTACACAGCACATTACCAAGTACTTACAGTTAGAGGACACTTTCTCTAGGACCCTTGTAGGTGGCTTTTTAACCAGAATGGCTTTAAGTGCTTTACAAAACCAGTTGGATTTTATACGAGATATAAAATCATCTTTAAGACTGTTATGTCAGCGTTTCCTTACTTCAGAGCTAGAACTGCCAACCTCATTGCCTAAACATCAAGTGGTTGAGAAATATTGTTATATGGGTACGAGAGCAGCACCACAGCATTACTTCAAAAGCTTTTGCATTGATGTAGTAAATGAAAAGTGCTTAAGAAAGCTCCCCCCACCTCTCTTCCACAGTTTGGTTTTAGTTTTTTTTCTCTTTTATTGATCCAGCCTTGAATAACGCTGCTTATTTGGTAACAACATCAGGCAAAAACAAGAGCAAGTGCCATTCTGCATTCCAATATGAGTCATTCAGCAAAGTTTTGCAATATATACATTTCATCCAGCTTCTGACGTTATAGGTCATCATGCCAATGAACATTTTTAACAATGCAATAAAATCCTTCCAATGGAACTGTTTATGAATGTGAGTCAAGAGACCAGACAATCTAATTTCTGAAATTTATATCACTCATGTCCATAATCATTTTACATTTCACACTTCATGCTCTCAAACGTTACCCTAGAGAAGAGTAAATCTTTTTGTCACATATACTATTAAAGACGCTAGCCAGGTTTATAGAGTTACAGAAGACTATAATAAGATGTAAAATTTAGTAGGTAATAAGTTATGACATTTGCTGACTAAGACAATATTCAATCTACACTAATGTTTGATCCATTCAAATACAATAAGTATTTGGATGTTATATACTACCCATTTAATATACTTACAGTGCAAAATAAAGTGAGAATTTTTTTCCTGAGCATTTAGGAAATTAAAATCCTTTTAATCATTGATTGCAATCCATTTACAATATACTCCCCTTATACCTAGGCCTGTCAAGACTGTACAATTAAGACAGGCAAAAGTTTGTAGATATCAGAAGCCCAATCAGGAATCAGAAGGGTTATTGAACATCTCTAAAATTTGTCCTCATTTTTCAAGTCTAAGGATATAACAGGATTTGGACCGATACCAAAGAGTTCAGAAATTACACTTTTTTTCCATTGACCAAACACTCAAAAATGTACAAACCACACGCCTTCCAAAACAGAGAAACAGCCTCTATTTAAACAAATTGTAATACATATTTCAACTTACTATTCTGTAGGTAACGTAATGCCCAGTGAGCTGTGCCTCCAACAGACATCAGAGAATAAATACAACTTTTAGGAATGTATTTTGGGCATTTTGTAATTAAGTCAGATCCTGACAAGTTCAACTTTTTCTCGATAGCTACAGACCATGCGTTTCTAATTCAATCTTCTCCTCTGCTTGCGAGCTATCAGGTTCTGCTGGAGGAACAGGTGGTCTGAGTATAATCTCTGGACCTCCACCATAGATTGACTGAAGAAAATTCCATGTTTCTTCAGATATTTGTCCAGAATCTGCACCTGAAAACATTTTTACAATTTTAATTACTGTTTCATTATGTCTTTGAAGTCCATAACATACACAAAAAGAGAAAACATACAGATTCAAATTTAAGACCCTGAACTGAATTTGTGCTTTATCTTGCACCAACTACCAAACCAAATTACATCTTTTGTGTTAATTTTCTATTTCTTGATTTTTACAACTACCCACTCTAGATTACCCAGTACTTAACATACCGCAAGCATAAAACATGTCTGATATTTATCAGTCAAGCTGACAACTGGCAGCTCTTGGTACACAGGAAACAATGATTTATATTAATTTAAGGACATGCGGTCCCATCAAGTACACAGTAAAGTTCAAGGACTTAATTTATTTGAAGAAAGAAGAATCTTAATATTGATAATAAAGAATAAAAGTTTGAGAACCACAGTGAAATTCTCAGACCCACAGAGAGAAACCGCTATTAGGACATTAGAGCCCCACTAATGCTGCTTGTATGTAGCACCCATGGGTCTGCCTGATTTCCTTTCATTCACTGATTAAAGTCTTTGCTCAGGACCCCAATCCTCAGGCCAGAGGTCCCTTTGCTGTCTCAAGTCAGTGTCCAACAATAATTTCTAATTTTCTGTAATGTTTTATAGTGGTAAAGGGCAAGGGAGCATCAAGACACTGCCCCAGTAGGTTTAAACACAGGGATCCTGTCTGATACAGTTGAGGCCATTTCTTCACACTAACCTAGCCAGAGAGGATGAATTCATCTTCTACCTGAATAAACCCTGAACTCTTTAAGTAACTTATTAAAAACCTGCCCTGCAGCAAGCTTCCCAGTATCCTTATTAGATACTATTAATCTGTCTTGTTAAGCCTAATTTCAGCACCCTCCTACTTACAAAGAAATGGGGACTTCTCCCCCAACCCCTTATACTTCTCTGTCTTCACTGCCTGCCCAGGGGGTGTACTACTTTATGTATAGAAAGCTTCCAAAGAGGAAGGGTACAAAGAGCTGTTATCTACACTAACTCAACCATGCAAAGCTTCATCTGAAAGTCACGATGCAGATCCTATGCCAATACTCATGAAATTATGCCTCAGTTTTACTCATTTAGGCTCAGGTTCCCAAAAAGCAGCTCCATCTCTGTAGGCACAGGAGTAGAGCTTCACTCCCTCAGCCAGATTCCAGCTCTTCTAATTGTCAGGTTTAACTGAACAGACACAGAGAAGTAATGCTGGGATCAGGACCACTGGATCACAGGAATATGTAATTCTGCACACTATTTAGTGCTGCTCCCACTTCTCTCATTTCTTAAGAGACAAATTTCTACAGCCTATTCATCTTCATTTCTACCCAAGTTCTAATTCGAATCAACGCAGCTGAAGGTAAGTCAACAACTGGCTGATTTGCTATTGATTATTGATTTTTAAATGACTTTTTTTTGCCACATGTCAGTCAGATACTTTATATTTGAATTCTACACTGGTGCTTAAATCATTGAAATGAAACTGCAAATGTAATGTGTAAGAACTCATTTTTAAATACACTCTTGCCATTTTACAGCTGCTGAGGTTTACGCAGGGCCTAGTAACCTCCAGTGAAAAGCCACTGGTAGGCCTCCTGTATGCTGAGGCATTAAGTTAAATCAGGAAAAAATCCAGTTAAATAAATGTTAATCTTAATGCTGTTTTTTAAAAAAACAAACAATGAATTTAAATATTCACAGGAATATTGTCTAATGACTTCATAAAGCAGGCCATCTTAGAATTTTTTTTTCCTGTACCTACAATTTTCAAATGAATGGTATTAAGGATTTGACTGTGAAGAATAACAAAGAAATGTGGATCTTTGTGTGCTAGAGGAGTTTTTGTGCTGTACAGTGACAACCAACTTGCAGAAAAATAAGCAGCAGCATTTACTTTCTGTGGTCTATGTCCCTTTGTCAGAAGTGGCTCTCAATCCAAATCAGGTTGCAAGATTCAACTAACTATATACAGATACATGACATGGTCTGAAAGCCAAGAATCTCCCAATTTACATTACGAAAACCCAAATCAAACCAAGTGACACAAAGCCAAAGAACACTTTTGCCATTTTAAAGTTACTCTGCACCTCCTCATACACTTATCTGTATTTGGATTAGTCTATCACAGATACTAACTCTTTGCTGGTCTCCCCAAAACGGGCACAATACAGATTCATTAGGAATTGCCATTTTACAATAACAGTTTTAAAAAAAAAGAATTCATAATAAACTTTCCAGACTTCAGCAAATACACCATAAGGAGCCCAAAGCTGCCACAATATTGGACACCTACCTTGTTTTAGCACAGCACTGCCACATTTTGTTACTGCAATCTTAGCGTTATCAATAGGACCAGGAGGATCTAGTGTGACAGAAAGATGATTAAAACTGGGAGAGCTGAAAACAAATGGAAGTTGGAGGTCCTATTTTCAAACAGAAGGAGAAATAGCTCATTTGTTTACTGCTTGTTCTTGTACTGCTTAACAGTATGTTTTATGTTGTTAAAAGCTAATCAGAATTTTAATTAAGAGCAAGTTTTTCAAAGCTTTCATGATTACATTAAGTCTTCAAGCAACATAACACACAAATTAATCCTAATTCTTACCCCTAGCAGAGGTGTCCTAGAGCAGACTCAGGCAAGATTGTAGAACAGCTTATCAGTGTTTCCATTTCAAAACTTTAGGGGTATCTGAAGTAGGCTGAAGGGCTGTTATTACAGTTGTTAACTCAGTTATCTCCGAGTTTAGGTTGTGACAGTGGGGTCACCTTTCCTCCAGAAGTTGTAGCATTATTACCTACGAGTTTGCACAGCAAAATCCATCCCTGCCTTGAACTTGGATCCAATTTTCCTGCTGCTACTAACAGCAAACACCCTGCAAACAAGCAGCATTCTTTCCACAACCATCCCATTATCCATTCTTATGAATTATTTCACTACCTTCTGTAATTGGATTCCTGGATATATTTGTAACCTACAAAACCTGTGTCTCAGATGTTCAAGAGCTTTTGTTGCCCTATCTGTTTTCCCTGCAGCCTTCTACCAAAGCAGAAACAATTTACTTCAGCAGTACCACTACACGACAACAAAAAAGACCACGTGTATTTTGAAATGGAGCACAACTTACCACTGTCTTTACCCTTCACAAATCCTTCCCATTCCCTGAACCACTGCATACTGATGCAGTAAAATGTTGATGGAGATTCTTCTTCTTGGAATGCTCTATTAAGCTGAAAGGAAAAAGAATTCATATTTTTCTTTTATTTTCTTTAAACTACTGAATTCTTTTAACCATGAATTATTAACAGCATAATATTACACTGCTACAGAACATTTTGAAGACCTACTGACCAGGGCAGTGAAAACCCGGTGAATTCCCAACGTGACATTTTGATGTAGGGGTGTAGGCTTCATATTAAAAGATTATTTTTTCTTTACTTGAGAATTTATTTATTTATTCCTGAAAACATCAAGTTCTTCTTACGCGTAAGTGCTTACCGGTCAAACACTACTGGATAATTACTGTGAAGGCTGAACTTTCAAGTAGCAAAAGAAAGCAGAAAACTTATTTTTGTAAAATAAAACAGAGTTTTGACAGATTTGCTCCATAATTTTATGGAAGGTTCTTGGTGTGATGGACTGCATCTTAATCTATGTTTGGTACAACTCCAAGCAAGGCATGGTGAACTAATGCACTAGGACTTTTCATGACTTGACTTTGTCTCAGTTTAGAAAACACAAAACATTTTTTGTTCCCACTATTTTAAAATTAAAAAAACAAAACAAAACAACAACAAAAAAATCAGATCCTGTTTCCGAGTTTCTGTTGCAAGGCAATGTAAGTGGCTATGAACCACAAAAACCAGCTCACTAAGGAGTCCCAGTTGCATTTAGCTCAATTTGTTTCCGTCATTGGAATAAAAATTATTGTTTTAGAATAAAGATTTTAGGAATTTTATTCTTTCAGAGACTATAAATCTTTTTACAATGTTATTAAGAAACTCTGCAATAATATAGCTGTACTTCCCCCTTGAAGCCATGAAGCTAAAGCATCAACACGACTTGGTAAGCTGTCAGATAGAATAAGTTTCGCGATAACTCCCTAAAGCAATCTTTATACAGGACAGCAGAACTTTCTATCTGCTAGCCCATATCAATACTTGGACAACAGTGCACATACAGTCATTGTTTATACTGGAAAACCACTGATCACTAAAGAAAATGAGGTTGACTCAATGCTGTTAATAATTACTATCCAGTAGTAACCCAGACTAAAGAAAAACCAATTACTCTCAAGTTCAAATAGCAGCTCAAACATGGCAACGCTGACACAATCTCTGAAGTGTGATTAAAGCACAGACAGAACTGAAAGAACTGCTGCAATTCTGGTTTTCTGCCTCTAAGGAATGAAGGTACCAGAAATGGGACTCCAGGCTCTCTGCACTTCTTTTCACTGAAAACATCAAAATACATTTTTGGTTTAAGAATTACAGAGTCATTACTAGTAGTTATTTTACCATTCAGACTCATGCACATAAATCTCTAGCTCATGTAAAATATAGTAGCTGCTTGGTGTTAGTTTTACAGATCCATTACAATACTAAGGTATTACTTCACACTGAATTGTTTATGTTTGTTTATCTCTCCAATGATATCGTAAAAATTAAATCTAGAGATAAACATCATGATTAACTTTTTGCTGGCACAGTATTATTGCACTTAAGCCTTATCAGATCGCACAGAACAGCTCACTGGCAGCGCACAAAGAACAACTGCTCGCGTGGCTGGACTCTGTTTCCATACTATAAAAAAGCAATTTAAGAAACATTAAATATTTTCTCTAAGTACATTTCCATATAAACAGTTATCTGGGATATCACAAGAACATTACTGTTGTCAACAGGAAAGAAAGGATTTATACAGGCATACAGATATTTAATAAAGTCCACTGGTTACAGGAATCACCTATGCACTTCTGGTAACCCTTTGGGTCAAGTCGTGAGTATTAGGTGATGTCAAAGAGCAGAATGAATAAGTGTTTACTTTTTTACCCGAATAAACATTTCCAATTCATTTTTCCTTCTTTTTTCAATTCTTTCAGACTCTATTTGGCAGGTGTGACAAACATACAGATGGTTCACAGCTGGTCCTCCTCCATACCTAATGTAAGAGTAAAAAAAGATATGAACCTTCCGGAAAATACCACGCAAAAAGATCATGCACCTGCAGACATCAAAAATTTCAGATTCTTATACAATGTAATGCAAGTCTGACACGTGCCAGACACACTGATCCACAAATGCCATAATTTCTTTTCCCAATAATATTTTGTTCTCCATCCTAAGACATAACCATTATCCAAATTCCGACTGCCTAAAGCCAGTACAAACCATCTCCAGCTCTACTGCCTCACATACTTCAGAAAGCATTACCCTGGGAAGAACAGGTCCATGAGCAAGCATTCTGTTATATATAAATATTTATGTGTGTGATTTTATTAAAGGCCTCTAAGAAACAGCTTATGGAAATGTTCCAGCCAATTCTATCTCAAACATGTCCATTGCAGGCTCTCCATCAGTTTGCTGCCTCCCTGACACCAGCCTCTAAACTTGGTTATGGTTTTGTTCTTGGAAAGTTGTTCTCCATGACCCTCCCCT